GCCGAAAAATTATAATCATATGTACATAACGATCTCATTGATAGATGATAATTGCATTTCATATTTCTTATTTATATCCTGCTTCATCAATGAATTTTCTTTCAATACGAAGTATATTTGCTCTTCTTTCTTAGAAAATTAATAAATTTTTTCTGAGAAGAATGTTATATAAACTTGCTCCAAGATTGCATTGTATATAGTACAGAATTATCATTATTCTTTCAAAATTTATATAATTTGAGTTCAAAAACTTTGAATATTAGATATAACATAAATACTATTAATAACTGTCCTTAAAAATAATTACGAATATTATTATATTACTATAATTTAGATATTTAATTAATAAAAATTAAAAAATTAATACAAATTAAAAAAACCTGACCTAAAGATGACAACAAATAACTATAAACATATAAATATCAATTAAAAGACTCTGAATAAAGTTCATATGTGTATAATTGTCTGTGATGTACCGAAAAAAATATACTATCATCATTTGGCTGTTAATGGTTATAATTTCATCGAAAAGGAAAGAATGATTTTGAATGATTTCGTAGAGACATATATCTACGCAATATAAAAATATGGCATAAAATAAGCGATCTCCGTGTACGTATCGTCTGCTTTAAGCGGTGAAAAGTCAAGGGAATTAAACGCAGATAACCGAACGTTATCGCGTGCTACTTCTGCTACTACTCCGTTCTCACCGCATAATTAACGTTCTGTATTCAACCTCGTTAAATATGCTATAATGCCTATTAAAAGAAGTCAATTCTAAGTTTTGATCTTGCAATAGGACGAAAGAATTAATTTTATGTCATAAAATCTAGATTGATTTTAATTACCAAACACTTATAAATTCGATAAATTTAATTAAATTGCACAATAAATTATTAAATTTCTAAATAATAATGGATTTTTATTAAGCTCTTGATCTATTGATTTTCTTAAAATTTAATTTATTTATTTGTATCTATCAGAAATTAAATTTCTTACAATTACAAGGCTCAATTTTAAATTAGAAAAGCTCGAAATCTGTCCTACTCTCTATCTATTTTGTTTCACTTATATATTGATATTTTATTTAAAAAAATTAGTT